AGATGGACTGCTGAGGTCCCTTTCTTCAGTGGTCTCTCAGCAGACTGGTCCTGCCCTCCCTTCCGCATAAGCAGCAGTGCCCTGAGCTGCTGTTGGGTAGAGCGAGGGCAAGCATGCCCATGGCCAGGCGCTGCTGGAAGGGAGAGCAGGAGAACCAAGACTCTTACATCCCACCAGTTGCATGGGACTGCCCTGTCTTCAGCGATTGCTCCCCAGCCCAGGATAGTGCTCAGGTGCCCGAAACTCAGTGCCCCACATCTCACAACCACCGTACTCCACTCTAGCTTCAAAACCTTCCCTCAGACCGGGTGCTGGAGCCTTCTTGCACCTGAGAGCAGCAAGGTGCAGGAAAACAACAAGGATTTGTTTCTTGCCAGCCAGCAGGCCTGTCTCAGGACCCTCATCTGCCGACACATTTCCAGCCCTGGAGATGGAGTCCCACAGTGTACACCCAGTCAGTGAACCTTTTCCCCCAAGATCATTAAACTCCACATGGACCAGTCCAGAAATCATCTCCATTTACCTGCTGGAGAAGCGAAACCAAGCGTCTGGTCTGTGTGCCCATGCGGTGGGCTCCACTCACGGGTCTCTTTCTTGGGCCACTTGAAACAAAACAGGCTGTGTCCAGCACCAGCAGGCTGTCACCAGTAATCAGTGCCTCCCAGCACTACCAGTAAGGCTTCTGTCTAGTAGCTGATGAATTTTATAGAACTTTTACTGCAGAAATAATACAGTTGAAGATGTTTCTGCATCAGATGAGAAGGACAGGATAAGGAAAATGGCAAAAAGTGTTGATGCATTGTCTACCAGCAAAAATACCACCACATTAGGTACTAGTTAAAGGAAAGCACTGCATTAAAATCCTGTTCTAGACCAGGTGACTTGCAGACTGAGTTACTTTCATCAAGCTCCATTTTATCCTATTAAACCAAAATGTACTTCAGCCTGTCATTCCTCCCACCTGCTTTTTTCCCCCTCCTTTAAAGAACTGTCAGTCTTTACTCCAGAGATGCCTGGGACTGAAAAACATGCTTATCCCAGGAGAGGATAGTGTCTCGAGGTCACAGTTGATGTGCACTGGTGAAGCAGCATGAGGAAACCTACATTGCGTGAATAAATAAAGGGCCGTAGCTCAGCCCAGACTCTGTGGAGGAGACAAGATGGATGGATCAAAAGGTCAGAGTCTTGTCTGATAATGGGGGCAGTTGTCCCAGGAGTGAAGAGGGGAAAAGAGAGTATTTGGTCTATCATTTGTTGCAGCCACTACACAGCAAGGTTGAGGAAGGAAGGAATACTGTGATTTGAGGTGTACATCTCCGCAGCATACCAGCATGCAGTGGAAAGGAATTAAATGTGTCTTTGTAACACAGTGGAACAGAGCGCTAGCTCCTCCTTGAAGCTTTCTTGTCACTAAAGTCTGCCTAAAAATATCAATACATCTCTCTCTCTCTGTCTCAAGGCAGGAGCTATTGTAGAATCTGCTGGGAAAGTCATTTAACCAAGCATGTCTGAGCTACGCTGCCACGCTGTACCGCACCGCTGGGAGCAGTGACCAGCGTTTCAGATGCCGAGAGCTGCCCCGCATGCCCCCACGCAGCCAGTGATGCCTGGGGCACTGATGCTGTGTCCTGGCCTGAAGCCCATGTGCACAGCCCCAAAGGAGAGCCCTGAAACCCGCAGCAGAAAGGTGATCTGCTCCCATGTTGCCAACACCATGTGGGTCTCCAGCCAGATCATCAGGAAAGCACCAGGCATGAGCAGCATCCTGCTGATGGCAGGGTCAAAATTCGGGGCTTCCCCCATCCGACAACACTGCTACCGAGGTGTGGGGTCCTGTGCTGGTCTGACCGGAGTGTTCTACCTCCTCCAGGCTGGCACCGTTCCTCTGGCAGCAGCACTAGGTAGTCTGTCTGGGACACCACAGCTCTCCAAGCTGACACCCAGTTTGCCAACAAGCCAGTGAAGATACTTGCCCCAGGGGGTCCCTGCAGCAAAACATTGGTTCCTGAGCTCCCCGTGGTATCGGGGCACCACAGCATGGAGCCGTGTCCCAGTCCTGCCCAGGGAGAGGCTGCAGTGGGAGCAGGTGGAGTTGGGGAGTCCTGGTGCTGAGGACGTATGGGCTGGTGGACTGAGGAGGGAGCAACTATCGCCCCGTTTTGTTGATGTGGAGCCAAAGCCTGGACACATATGTCTAAGACCTGCTGCGTAGCCAGGAGCTGAGTGCAGGCATGGCCCCCATCACCCCTAAAATCATCTTCCTTCCCTCTTGGGCAAGGAGCTGCAGCTACACTGCTGGCTTGGCAGAGCACATGGAGCTTTCAGCCCTTGATCTTTGCCAAGAAGTAGTCTCTTGCTGTGAGTCATTTGCAGAGCGTGACTGGGATTTGATTTGCTGTGCTTTGCAACAGAGCTCCCTGGCTTTGACCTTCTTCCTTAGCCACAGATCAGAGGACACTGTTACCTCCCCGCTCTGGAAATCCTAAGGCTGATTTATCTGACGAACAATTAATTTTGTTTTAAGGCAGCAGCCCTGATCTCAGTTGGGAAGAAGCGTACCACCTCTGGTCTCTGCCGGACGCACAGGACCTCGTGTCTCCCCATGGCCACCAGTAGCCTGAACAGCCTCCACCCGGAGCAGGAGGCCCATGCACTCCCGCCCCACGTATTGCAAGTGTAGAAGCATGGGCTCAGGCCCCAGCACCCATGTTTGCTGCCACGGGTAGATGTTGTCCATTCTTGCAGAGGTGACGGCAGGGTGGCAGGCAGATGGGCAGGACTGGTGGGGTGGCATTGCACCGCTGAGCTGGGCTGCGGGAGGGCACAGGCCTGGCGGCGGCGCCTGCCTGGGAGCTGGCGGGAGTGTGGAGGATGCTGCTGTGTGCCACAGGAGCAGCCAGAGGCCACATCTGTGCAGGGAAGCAGCTGTGGTTACTTCTTGACAGAGCACGGCAGAAGGGGTGGAAGCCACGCTGTTTTGGGACCGTTTTCTCGCTGTGGGGCAAGAAGTGGATTTGCTGTGGTGGGTTTGTCCTGTGAGGACATGGATCCTTGCTCCTCCCCCAGAGGCAGCAGAGTTGGGGTCGGGATCCCCTGGACAAGATGTTGAGCTGATCCCAGCATGCAGTGAGCGTAATTGCAGCTGTGGTGCCCACAGAGAGCAGGACAAAATTAACTGTCTTTACCTCCTGTCATTTTTCTTCCTCAGCAGGTCCAGACCAGACCCAGCCCTGACAAGTCTGGTGCTGTCCGTGGTGACCTTGCAGACCCACAAGCCTCAGGACGATCTCACTCTTACCGACAGATCTTGTTCCACCCACATATCACTGAACAGCTCTTCCGAGAGTGCCGATGTTTTGCCCTGTGAGCGAACCAGTGCAAAAGCCAATCCAAAGTTCAGTTTACCTGAATCGGTGGACGGGGACACCTCAACGCGTCAGGCTTTCACGGGCTGGATCAGCAAGGATGGGCCTTCTCACACTGCCCTGTTTCACAAGCACCTTTTAGACAGGACTGCATTCTTCTGCCAGCGAGTCGCCACCCCCCAGTAGAGAATGGCCCCTTCCCAGAGCTGGGTTTGCTTTTTGTGTGAAGGGATTTATTTCTTCTTCCTCACCCACTCCTCACAGGTGCTCTCACAAACACCCCTACCACCCACTCACTAGCAGGAGTGCAAAGGGCACAATCCAGCATCTGCAAAAAGACCTCTCCTGGTGGAAATTGGGTTGAATTCAGCTCACAGTGTGCGGATCGGTTTGGAAGATGATTTAAGCAGTGAATTGAAATGCTAAGTCTGGATTAAACCCTGTCCCCTTTCTCAGTGTTGTGGCACAAGCCTTCTCAGGTGTTCTCCAGGAGGGAATCTCTTGCTCTGCAAGAGTTATTAATCAAGGCAAAAAAATACATCAGGCTAACAAAGCATGAGTGAGGGAAGGTGCCCGCATGGATGAGGTGCTCCGTGGATCGCGGCTGCTGAAACGTCAGTGGGTGCACTTTCTAAAGCCATGCTGGAGCAGGAGGACTAACATCACCATGAAAGCATGTCTCCAGCATTATGACTTCCTAATCACTAGGTCCTGCAAAAATTCATTTTTATCCTGTTCTTTAGAGCTTAGGCAGAACATAAGCTCTAAGAACCCCGCTGTATGGAAAATTCAGCACATGCTGAAGCAGACCAAGCAAAGCTTTATCCTCCTCCTCCTCCTCTTAGCTGGTGTGTTAAAAGGTTTCTATTGAACTCCTGGTGGATTTTCTATGCACCATGGTTTTTCATTTTGTCTTATAATTTTTGCTTTAATGATTTACTTTCAACAAAAGAACAAAGTCAACACCAAGCTATAAAATAATATATTTTTAAAAATACACACCTTCACACATACTGAGCTTTTTTAAATTTTTAAAATATATTAGCAAAACTGCCACACTTAAAGGTAGGAAGCACTACCTAAAGTGGATGTTGTGCGTAGATCATACCCCTCCTCGTCATCTTTAGTGTGCTGATGTGGTACCTAAAGTCCTCTGCTAACCTGTCTTCTACATGGGTGAGAGAAAGCCACAGAAGTTTAGACTAATGCCAAACCTGTGTGTGCCCTGACAGATAGAAGTATCTCGGCGGAGCCTGAAGAGCTATTGCTTCCAGTCCTGCTTCTGTCCTCAGTGTGGGCAGAAGTTTGAGGCAAGGAGGCACAAGCTGGTGGCTGCATGTCCCTTCTGCTCCTTGCCGCTGGTATGGATGAGGACATCCTGGAGAAGGAAAGAAAGCCTCATCGCCTTGGCCTAGTTTTTCCAAGCCTTTTGGGGAACCGGAGTTCACTCCAGCAGCTGTGCAGCCCCTGCTGACAGCACCCAGCAGCACAAACTGCCACCTGGTCATTGGCCATGTTCCCGGGCGATGGTGGGAGATCCAGACACCACAGGAGGGGAGCAGGGCAGCTGTGCAATGGCAGTGGCGGCAGGACAGCGGCGTGCTGGCAGGGACAAGCGACTGGCACCATGGCAGCATGCGGAAGCACTGCTGCAAAGATGGAAATCAAGGTAAGGCTGCAGCGTCCATGGCACAAAAGAGCCCTGCAGCCACCTGGGTGGGTGACTGTGGCAAAGCAGGGTCCAGCTCACGGGACACCCAGCACAGCGCCGCAGCCCCACCAGGCCCTGCCCAGCTCTGCCGGCAGAGGCAGAGGGGACCAACGGAGCCCTTGCAACCCCACGGCACTGCTCTGCTCTCCAGCCGGCGTAGGTTTTGTCTCTGTGACCCTGAGTAACTCTTGACTGTCTTCACTGTGTCCACCGGTACTGATGCAGGCTTTCAGACAGTTACAACTGACTGTGGCACTGCATGGCACGGCAGCCAGTAATTGCACTTTTTTGCATTGCAAAATGATTATTAGCACCTCAGTTCATTATCAAAGCAAATTTAATTTTTCAATGTAAAGGAGCCAGTTGTATTTATAAAGGAAACACTGTTGATATAGCCAGAAAAAATTAATTCATGACAAATGTAAGGAAAATTAATAGTCTTTAACCAGGACAATATTTGACTGTGTCTAATTGTGCTTTGCCAGGTAAAGTACACTATCTTTGAAAAGTCCTGACAGAGATTCTTGCAGAAGCATTTTACACTTCTTCTGATGAAACTGCATTTAAACACTGGTTTTTTAATTAACCTTGTAGCAGTCTGGTCAAATCATATAAAAACTGTTGTGGAAACTCACTATTCTCTCATGTATTTGTGCACTGGCATAGGTGTTGTTTACATTCAGGAAGGTCTTGTCTAATCCAAACCCATTCAGGCAGAAAAAAAGAAAAGGGAGACGAGAAAACACCAGGGGCAGAACAGCCATGGAGAACCCCTGGACTGCGGGTGTGGGTCCTCGCTGGCGGGACAGCAGCATGGGCATGCAGACATGAGCCAGATTTGGCTGATGCCACGTCTGAGCCAGCATGTGCCACTGCTTTCCTCTGCTGGCCGTCTCTGTATGGGTGGGGGTGCCCACTCGTACGCCTGTGCGTGAGAAACAGGACAGGGAATGGGAGCGGGAAGGTGACACGGTGGGCGATTCTGCATTTCGCTTTGAAGAGGAAGCCAAAGAACCGGGCTCTGCCCCACGGTCTGCTCACCACAGACGTTTTGTCCTTGCTCATGTAGATGGCCTCGGACAACCGGAGTACCTGCACCTTTCCATGGGCTCTGGCTGGCCCTGCTGGCTTTTGCTGTGGTAGACAGACAGGGAGAGCACCACTGCATCATAACGAAGGCCCAAAGGCTCCTCACCGGACACGCACCCACATTCACTCAGGGCAGCACAAGTCCCCAGGTGTTTTCCACTGGGCAGGGTCTTCACTGGCAGGGGCCCCTCCTCGGGCTCACCATGGCCCATGGAGCCTGCAGACAAGGGTGGCCACAGGGACCCCAATGGGCTGGGGGAAATCTCACAGAGACATGTAGGGATCTCTGGTTCTCCTTAGAAGTTTACTGAAGAGAACATGGTGACACAGGTGATGTTTTGAATGATGGGCTGCTTGTGAACAGGTTCAGTAGAAGAGGCACAAGCCCAGCCGAGGCTTAGGTGCCCTCTTGGGTCAGAGCACCAGAGGGTCTGTTTCTGCCTGGTTCTCTGAAGGTTTCCACATCCTGGCTGTGGCCCAGCCCCTCTGCAGCACTAGTTGTCTCCATCCCTTGGACATGACTGCAGCTATCCTAATTGACAGCAGCAAGAGAGCAGCATGCTTTGTGTGAAGACATCCCAGGAGCGGATCCTCCCAGGATGGGGTATGGGCTCATTAACACCTTCTCCATTACACTTGAGTGGAGGTTTCTCGAGCAGCTGATTCCAGTGCCAATGTTCCCACTGCCTTCACGGGTGCTGTGTAGGTACCATGGCCTTCTCCAGCACTCTTTCACCAAATGACGTGTCAGACTCCTGCGGTGGCCAGTTGGTTGATGGTGGTGCCTACGTCTGAGGCAGCCCGGGGTCAAAGTTGCATCTCACCTCATTTGCACTCGTGTTGTCTGCTGGCTGCAGCCAATGCCAGAGACAGGAGCAGGGTGGTGCTGGCTGGGGCTGCCTGCTGATGGATCAATGCTTCCCGCCCTTAGGGGAGATTCAAAGCTTGTCCAAGCTTTGGAAAGGCAAACTGGAGGGCCCCAGTGCATGAAAGCACCAGGCAGGCAGGGTGGGACCCCCCATTTTCCTTGAGGGGTGTGGGTGTTGCAGAGGGAACGTCTGCCCCCCCTGGTATCCTCCCCCAGCACTGCGGACAGTCCCAGCCTCTCACCCTACCACCACGCTCAGCTCTCAGGACAGCTTGGAGATGTGCTGTCTTCTCAACACAGCCTGCCAACTTGAAGCCAATTTGCATTGGATAATTATTTTCAATTAAGTGATAACAATCCTGTTCTGAACAGAAATAATCTTGTCCAAAGGCCAAACAGTTTATCCTGTCTTGGAGATGAGGCTGCAGCTTTGTGCAGGCACACGTCAGTGTCAGCACCGTTATCGGCTCCGCTGTGCTGAAGGGTACGGCTCGGCTCATGGCCAGGGAGGGTTGCACGCAGTCCCGTGTGCTGACTAACTCAGCCCACTTAAAGCGACCCACCGCAGCCACCGGTGCACCCTCCAGGTCCTCACCAGCACCCGCTTCTCCTGCACAGGCCCCCCAGCATGCCAGGTCTCCCTTCCCACTCCTCCAACGAGCTAAGGGATTTTGCAACCCTGGCAGTTTTATTCCAGTTCCCAGGTGGGAGCAAAGCTATTTTTCATCTGCAGATCTCACCTGCCCACCGGCTGTCTTCCTCCTGCAGCACCACGTGGAGCAGGCACGTGCTCTGCACAGCAAGGTGCAGCCAGAGCAGAGGTGCGCACTGAAACGGCCCTAATCCCCGCCAGCCAGCCAGCCCGATGGAGAGGGCTTGAGCATGTTTCTTACAAAGTTAGCACCTTTCTGCTCAGCATCCTCCCCGCTAAGGACGTCTGGCCTCTGCAGGAGCCATCCAGGTGCCCTTGTTAGCCAGCTTCTTGGCGCTGGTTGTGTGCAAGTGTCCTTTGCTCTCAAGAGTGACACAAGCCACCGAGGGTCCCTCACGTACAGCGGGTGTGAGTGTGGGTTGATGACATGCCCCCAAGGAGCTTTGCCTGTAGGCTGTCTGTTTTTAACTCGACTGTCATGATAAAAGGCAAGTGGGACTGCTGCCACCAAAGTACAGTCGGCTGGGCCCCATCCTGCCCTGGGTGGGGCAAGGACCCACCATGACCAAACTGTCTGCCAATTTGACAGAAGTCACAGGAATTTGGTGCTGAAATTTGGAGGCTCTGGACAGCTCCAGCACAGGAACGGGGAAAGACTGCAGCAGTGCCGGAGGCAGTCGCCATCCCCAGCAGCTCCAGCAGACACCCAGCACGGCTGCACCAGGTGAGTGGGGTCCACGCCAGGCATGGGGCCAGCTGGCTCGGCAGAGCTGCCTCCAGAGGTGTAACGCTCCGGCCATGGCCACGGCTGTGGCCCCTCCCAGGTGGCTGCCCTGTGGCTTTCTCCCCCCCCTCCC